TTGGCGATTTATGCAAGGCGTGACACGATTGGGTCAGATCTTGTCTATTCCTGGGTACCGTCGTACAGGATGTTGTGACGCGACAGGTCAGTTAGTTCTCCCCCGCCCCCGGCCTTGTGCAGCCGGGAGCGAGCTTCATTGTCCGTAAATGACAGGGAGGAAACCGGGATGATATTTCAGCGAGAGAGGGGCCGTACGGCCGACGTGGGTCCTCGGACACTGTTGGACAGGTCGTTCAAGTTCTTCCTGGTTTCCATTTATTACGAACTGCGGATTCTGGCTTCGGATCAGCAGTCACAAGGCGCTCCTTCACGGATCGAGACAGCCACGCGTAACGGCTTGTTTGAGGGTGGAGGATGCGCGACTTTGTTCAGCCGTTATTCGGTCCGGTGTTCTGGCAAGTCAGACTGATTAGCCAAGGTTGAAGAGAGCGGGATGTGACTCTGTTGGGAAATCCTTCCGCTGAGCATCGCTTGTGGCTGACCGAGGTGCCAGGGATGATGTTACTCGGTGAGAATTTGTGTGCCAGGTGACTTTCTTCCAGCAATTTCGGGCCCGGGACTTCGGGTCAAGTGCCTCCACGGTTCTTTGAGAGAAGAGAAAACTTCTCTATTGCTATCCTTGACTGGTTAATACCCGAATTTGTACTAGGATGGGGTATTCGCAACTTGAATTCTAAGCAAAAGCACAGTTATGGAATCCGAAGGGACGACGTCCTGAACTTGAATTGTGTTAAACACACACCAAGTGATCATGAAAGCCACATCGACTTTGTTCGTAGAGCTGATATTATATAGCAAGGGGTCATGTACCCCATATTCTTCAAGCACGTTGCACTGGCATGGCTATTGCCATTGTACGGAGCAACTGGTGAACATTCTTCCCACCCCAGAGAACATCATATTGTGTCAGAGGAATAGTACCGCACCTATGGCGTAGCCACTCCGGGTGGCAGTGCCATCCATCATGGCTGAAGTGGTGGTATTTCAACCGACCCCATCTTTCCCAGGGATTCGGTTCCTTAACATGGGTGACAGGTCTGAAGGAGATGTTGTCTCGAATCAACCTCCAGTAGATCAGAAAGACCATATTGGCAAGGGGGTCGCGTGCAGCATTTCTTCACCGGTAGATGCCAGATCGGGAGCACGCGTGTTTTAGGCTAAACGCGGCGGATAAACGAGGCCTTCCTCACCGCCGGTTTGCTCAAGGAGAATTGGAAGAAATAGATGTACACTTCAGGCGCTGCATCCGGAATTGACTTGGTTATGTAGTCTTGTCAAGGTAGCTGCCTTCATGCTAGAACCTAGCTTGTCGTGGTATCCGGGTAGCAGAGCGTAATCCAGGATGGATGCATTCACCGTGTAAGTCACCAATATTCTATGCCTCCCGCCATGAATAGCGGTAAGAAACCCAGCGATGAGGAGCTTTCGCGAATGCTACATGTATTCGCGCTCCAAACAAAGTGCATGGATCAACAGTACATGCAGTGGACGTATATATGCACCCATGAAACAACATACTCGCCACTCAGTTCACTCGAAAAGGCTACGAACTGTGGAAGAATTGCTCCGTTGGGCTATATCAGATACGGTACGTATCTTGAGAGTGCTTTTTGTGATCTCATGACGATATGCCGCACCGCATATCCGGAGACAAGGGCGAAGGAGTCCCTGAAGAAAAGGCAGAGTAGCTTACATGGGTATCGGGCCGTGTCATGTTCTGCCTAGAGCGGCTTGTCAGGGCGCACGCCGAGAGGCATGCAATTCACGAATTGGGGAGCGACTCAATGGAGGGGCTTCATCTTGATGAGGCATCACTGGGCACAGTTTTGAAAGTGGTCCCGTGGTGTATGGTCTTGTCGCAAGCTGGAAATCCTTCACTGCGTCTGCCACGTCGAGTGACAGAATATGACTGAGTGGTGGGTCTCAATAAGCGAAAACTACCTCGAAACCGAGTATCATTCCCTACGAGCTCGATCTTAGGGGACGGATTCTTCACAAGTATGGCATTTAGACCTGGTGAGCCTTGGATGATGAGTGAAGACAGCGTGAGCCATGATGTGCCGCAGCCATACTCTTACCCCTCACCCACCCTCCATACTCGTCCTTTCTTAGTGCCTCGGCTTTATCCCCTAATGCCAAGGGTGATGGCGGACCGAGGCGGACCAGGAGGCTCTCCAGGAAGTATTGTGATGGACAAGTCCATTGTCATGAGAAGAAGACTAGTCGTTGGGCAGGAATGTGCCGCGGCTTCGTATCATATGTGAAAATAAGGAAATTTCAAGATCCTTTTGGGGTTTGATACCTTGGCTTTGATGAGTGAGTGAGTGCTGACAAAAGTAAGTTTTTAGTCTGATAGCGAGAGCACCGACATGGAAAGGCCACGAAAGGACTCAGGAGAACATTCTCAAGGACGGTTTCGTACACAGGGCTATCTCGCATGCGATCATTCCTCAAATGCATCGCTGACTGAAGTACGTATGATTCACTCCCTTGAAGAAGAGACTACTAGCATGTAGCTTGAGACATCTTCCGGGAAAATCTGGCTATTGGCTTCATCACGTCATTGAGACGTTGAGGTCTTTCAAATGGCGTTGAAGCCAAGAGAAACCCATAAAGGCACCTAGCAATCTCTAGATTGAGATATATGTCTTTGTTTCTCGGAGCCTCCTCTTGAAGTCTTGTCCTAGATTGTACACACGGATGCCGGCTCTCGAAGACTGCCAATCCCTTTCTCACCATTCGTGAGCTTCTATATCGTAAACTTGATCGGCTGCTCCGAAAGGACGGCAGATTTGAGTCTCCTATCAAGCGTCATATGACTGAATCGACAAACCAGATTCGGTCGTAGGTAATAGATGATTAGAACAAGTGACTTGCTTCTTTCAGGCCATATAGCCAAGGGAAGTTTCTCAATCTTCTCAAAGATAGAGCCGCAGAGATTGAACATCGCCTGCAGGGTTGCTCGGCATATCCTTTCTCTCTTCGAGGTAATCGACAGGGCTGAACTGAACTCGAACAAAGAACACTCGGTAGAAAGATTGGTTCCTTTCGTCTCCAGATGGAATGATCGGCAGCAGACAAGGTCCAAATTACCTGAGATCAACCATCATCTGCAATCGGTCGTAGTACCCTAGACAAGCCAACTCGATGTCTTTCCAGGTACGCGAGCATTCGTTCTAGGTTGACGCTTGAAGACTTGTCAATTTCATTTCTCATACAACGACATCATGTGGGATTTTCAGAATATTCATCTCATCACCATATTGATCATTCAGATCCCAGTGGCCTTGGCAGCCGCATCATCGAACTTCATAAACCACACCTCACAACCAAGTATAGCACTCATCCGCAACAGGCACCTCAACACTGTAAAGCTCCTGCGACCACCACTGCGTCGCAAACCCAACAACGCTAAAAAAGAAATCACTCTTCACCGAAAGCCCCTCCTCACAACCCGTATTATTCTGACCAACACTGATACCCGTCCCATTCACCCCCTGGCTCGCAGACAGCACAAAGTCATTCACCAGCTTAGAGCGCGACGTCACCCCCGAGCTGAGATCGATGGCGCCGCCGAGGATCTCAAACACGAGTTCGACGCCCAGGTCGACGTAGGGGTTCACGCCGACGGCGGCCTTTTCGGAAATGTTGGCGCGCGCGGTCCAGACGGGGTCCCAGCCCGTGGCGGAAGAGGATGCGGCGTCGACGAGGTCGAGGTGGAGTTTCGCGTCGGGGAAGGAGATGCCTAGGTCCGTGGTGATGGATGCTTTGGCGTCGGCTTCGAGTTCGACGCCGATGGCGAAGCCGATTGCGGGGCCGAGTTTGATGATGCCGGGGATGTCGACAAAGTTCTGGGATTCGGATGTTAGTCGGTGTAATGCGGCAAGTTTGAGAAGTGATCACTTACGTAGCCCAGGTCTTCGGGGTCGTAGGTAAAGTTACCAGAGTACGGTGCCTTGACGTCGACGGTGAGGCCGAGGACCGCGTCAAAGGTGGTGTCGATGTCGAGGGCGAGTTGCTCAACCTTGAGGGGGATGATGCTGTACTTGAGCGTGCCGGAGAAGGTCATGTTGGACGTCAGGGAGGCCTCGTCGGCGGTGACGGAGAGGTACGGGTCGTAGGTGAAGAGGTTCGTGTCGGCGGGGAGGGCGAGCGTGTTCGTGATGTGAACGCCGCCGTCGTCCCACTTGATGTCACGCTTGCTGGCGGGATTCTGAACAGGGACGTTGGAGAAGGAAATCTCCGTAGATGCTGGTCAAGGTGGTTAGCACATGTCTTTGTGTAAGGCGTGAGACAAAGACTTACTAGCTGTGTTGGCAACGTCGCTCTTGTGAGCGTTCGCAACAACCTGAAGAGTCTCGGCGTCCCAGGTAACGGTGTCAACCAAGAAGAAGCCGCGCTCGTTCTCGGCATCGCAGTTACCCAGGTGATTCGTGACCATGACAAAGTCGTCGAGCGCCTGCCACTGCTGAGACGTCTGCTCAAAGGCGGCCGTGACGTTGAAGGTGACGGTGATGCTCGCGTCCTCAGCGCACTCGACGCTCGCAATGGCCGCGACCTCCTCGAGGACGACCGAGGGGTACTTCATGGCCAGGACGACGCTGACGAGGCTCACGTCGTCGGCGGCGCCGTAGTTGAGAGTGATATCGTTGGACGGAACGAGGTTGGCCGGGTCCGTCTTGTTGCACTCGGGCCGCAGGACAGGGGTGAGCGTGGTGGTTGTGTTGGCGGCGGCGTGGGCGCCGGTGACCATGGCCACGGCCAGGGCGAGGAGGGCGAGCATCTTGGCGGACTTTCGGGGAGGGAATGAGTGAGTGACCTACGCTTGCTGGAGGCTGAAGAGACAAGATCATGGCATTGGAGGAGGAGAGCTCACTCATATAGATGTCTTAGACGGAGGATGTCTGACGGTCATTCTTGCTGCCCCCGGGTCGGCGATGGCGGGTTGAGCGTGCGGGATTAGAATCACTGCCAATATTCTCTCCGCCATCCTTGTAAATGACATGCAGGAACATCCCTCGCGAGTCGCGATGGCCTCACGGGAATTCTTCTTACAGGCCCCTCCCGAAAAGGGAACCTTCTCATCTTATTCCATGTCACATCTCACTTTCGATGCACCATCCGCACGCGTTACCATCGGGCCCTCCGCTCCACATGCCGTTGCGCGAGTCGCGGAAGACGTTACCAAAATGTAGCCCGAGCTTATCGATAATCGAAAGGGATTCAATAAATCCCACTGCGGTGCAACGTCGGGGCCCTGATTTTACGTCACATCGAACCGCGGGGTCACAACTTTGTTTTGCGTCTTATCCACGAGATGTAGTAGCAAGAGCTTCGGCCGAGCTTGTGAGAGGAAACCCGTGCCCCGCGAGAGAGGATCCCATTGGACATCGAAGAGAGCTCTACCGCGAGGGGGAGCTTTGACAGGATGCAAAAATTGAACACATGCCGCCGAGGGGATTGCGGGATCGTGGCATCTCCGGCGGGGGCACGTCGGGCGATAGCTCCCGGAATGGCGCTCGGCGGGGACGTTGGGGGCCCGGGCGCTGTTCCCAAAGGGGAGTTGAGGCCGAGTCGATACCAACGGCGGGAAGTCGGTGACCGATTTCGGATGTTTGGAAAGGGGAACGTTATGTACTCTATAGTAGTGCGCATTATTAATAGCACAGAAATAGTAGATATGTATGCTCTTGAATCATTCATCAATGAAAATGTCTAAACGGGGCGCTTTGCTAGATGACTTGAGGTTTTCAACTTGCACCTGATGCAGTCTCTCGACCACTTATTCAATCCCTCATCATCACAGAATATCCTTGACTGAGAGGGGGGAAAGCACAAAGAAGATAGAAAAGTATGATGGGTAATAGTTATGACGGTTTGGTATCACCATCTCGGCTCTGCTCTTTCGGTCGCGGGCGTCTCCAGGGCGTTCTTGTCGGCAAAAGGGTCATCGTCGTCTTCCTCCTCCTCCGAGTCAGGCTCAACAACCTTCTGGACAGGAGGTCTCGGGGGCTTCGCCGGAGCCGGTGCGGGCGGGGAACGCCTCGCCATCGGGACCGGTCGGGGTGGAGCAGGCGGACGGGAGAACGGAGTGTTGCCGATGCTCAGACCAGAAACATCAGGGGGAGGCGGAGACATGGATTGCTTGGCCTTTTCCGTCACCACTGTAAATTTATTAGTAGAGCTCTTGAGAATTGATAGGAATACGTGGACGCTTACTTCGGTACATGTGAGCTTGCTCGGCAAGTTCATCGTCGGAGTCACTGTCGGCGTCGATCGAGCGGTCGAGCTGCTCAAACGTCATGAGCGCCGTGACAAGCTCGTCGTTGGCGCGAAGGAGACTGCCGAGCCACTCTTCGGATTCAATGTGGTGGATCTGTGGCAACTAGTCAGAGAAAAGAATCAGGCGGCGAGGCGCGAACGTGACTTACATAACGAAGGATCTTTCGTCTAAGCTGTTTGCAGCTTTCGAACTGCTGGACAGCTTGGGCGTTATCAGAGATCCGTTCCCTCTCACGGTTGATGCTCTGCAGGTGGTTGGTCAGGTTGGTTGTGGCGATGGAACTTTCAGCAATCGCGCTCTTCATTGCGTCCTTTTCCAGTTCCAGGTTGAAGGGTTTGCGCTTGCTCTTCTTGTCCTTGTCCTTCTTCTTCTTATCCTTTGACGACCCGAAGAAGGAGCCGCCAGAATGGGAAGAGGATTTGGAGTGGCTAAAGGAGTTGGTGACATTGGATGTGTTGCCATAAGGCAGGTACGGCGTTTGCTGAGGTCTGGATGACTCGCCCGCACGGGTGGTGGGCGAAGGAGGCTTGTCCTCTTCCTCTTCCCCGAAAGGATTCTCAGTCTCCCGCACAGCTTTGGATCGCTCCTGAGTCACAGCAACCTTGCGCTTGGGTAGTTCCTAAAAGAAATTAGTTGGCATCGGCGAGTAAGAACGTCGGCCGTACCTGGTGCAGTTTCGCAATACGCTCCAAGCCTGGCGTGCTCTTGTACTGAGCCCAGCTGCGGAACAACTCGGTACACTTCTTTCTGACGTCGGGATCAGAGAGATCAGAGGTTCCGCAGACCCTCAGTCGTTCCAACAGGGGCTCGTCGGCGAAAGCTCGTTGGAAACGTGGGCCAGCGTTTTGGATCAAGCCGTCCAGGATGGTCAAAGCTCTGAGCTGGCGATGGACGTTGCCGTACTTGAGCTTCTTGCGAATGGCGCGGGCAGCCTCTACGGGACCCGAAGCTTGCAGCTTGATGACTTCCACAAGGTCTGGGATGCCACTCATGTCATCTTCATCGTATGTCTCGGCGGTCAGCGTCTCAATGCTCACCGTAACGGCGGAATATGGTTTCTTCTGTCCTTGGTGTCAGTTCCTGTGTACTCTACAGGTAACATAGCTCTTTTGAGGCTACATGAAGCTTCCGGAGGGTGTTGAATAGGCATCATCACAAGACAACGTAGCTCTTGAGCATCCACTATCAATCCATCTAGCCTCACCGAAAGCCCCCGTGCGGCTGTAACCACCCGATACTGCGGAGAGCTAGAGATGAGGGGGCGCGCGTACCTGAGAGAACATGATGCCCGGCGTACAATACAGTGAGGTATCTTGAGTTCAAAGGGCAGTAGTCCTTAAGCAAGCAAGGACTGGTATGTAGCTGTGGTGTTGCGGCTCAACCCAGGTGGCTGGCCGGAGGAGGGATCGAGAGGTGAGGTCGCCGCTACTTAGCGGAGGAGTGTCCGCCTGAGGATATAAGGATGAGGGTGGCAGATGCGGGAGCCCGGAGCTAAGGTAGTTGGTCGTCGCTAGTGAGGCTGTTCAGATTGTCGAAAACGATGCGAATGATAGATATGTAGTCCGTCGTCAAGATCGGGCTCCGGGTCGGGCTCGGGATGGAATGTGCATGAAGTGAGTGAATGAGGGACGGACGAGGCAGTCTTGGTGGGGCAGGGAGGGCGCCCTCCAAGCTCAGCTCCGCGGGGTGTCTCCGGTACGTACTCTTCGGGTGCGCGTGAGCCTACCTACCTTAGGTGGACTGGGCCCCGCTGACGTAGTTTCACTCAAGAGCCCGTGGAACCGACCCTGAAAACTGGACTTGAACACAGGTATTATGCAGCATGCTGGTAAACAAAGGAGAAAAAACAAATTCACTCAAGCATTGAAGAGTTTTCACTCGGCTTTTCAAGTCTTGCTTATCAAAGTTTGGGTCTGGCAAGGCACATGGTTGGAGAAGATGACCCGAGTTCAAGGTACCTTGCCTAAGGTATTGCTGGCCGGACCTCTCTGAACAGTGAGCTTTGGGATGTCCCGCACAAACGCTGGAAGCACGAGCCACTTCTCCTAGGCCAACCAGCTTCAACCCTGTGGAGTCATCACTCCCCTGAGGACCACCGGCACTGCTCGGCGCCGTGATCCGGCTTGGCCAATCGTAGTGACTGGCCGAAACAATATGTCATGTGATCCTGCAGTCTCCAAAGATGCTTTGAACCTCGTGGACGTCTAATGATTGGAAAGAAAAAATGCATTTCACGCGTTTTCCGTTCTTTTTGAGAGCTCTCAACTGTTGCTTCTGGCTTCCCAAAGCTGTTCTAGAACTTGATTGGAATTTAAGTCACTGTTCAATGGGTTGAAGCTCCGAGTCCAAGCATGGCACAAGTTACCAACAAGAACCTGGCTATGGCGGCCTGCGAATGCAGTCCAAAGGTATTGCTTCCCGGGTTGAACGGGATCGAGTCAGGCAATATCCTATGATAATCAGTCTTACAAGAAATGTTCAAGCACTAGTCTCAAAAGATAAGTACGATTGTTCGTTCAGGCTCACTTAACTCACGGCGTACCTCAACTTAGCTATGAAGCAATGACATCTTTGTTCATTTATCTAGGACATTTTCAATCGCAGACTTTTTGGTGCAACTCCATGCCAATGCAAAACTGATAGTCAAGTAAAGAAACACAAAACCTTGATTCGGCAGTACCTGTCTTCCAAACTTACTGTCTACTTCTCTGCATCCTCACCAGCATCCTTCTCAGCGATATCCTTCGGGACCTCCTCAACAGGGTCGAAGCAGTGGCACTTATCCTTGCTGTAGTCCATGGGCCAATGGCATCTTGTGTTGTGGCAATCTCCATACTTGTACTGACGGTTGGAGCCGTCTGGCCGCTTGGCAGCAGCCCACTTGCAAAAGTCGACCAGAGCGTTGACGGCACCGATAGTCATGATGATGAAAAGTTTGAGGAAAGTTGGCAGCAGGGGTCGAAACGAAACACTAGAGTGGCGGGTCAGAAAATGGCTCGGTGAGTTTAACAATGTGCTAATGAAATTATTTGATGTTGTTGATGAGGATAAGTAGAAACTGTCTGGTGGCTTTGATCCCTCTGGTTAAGTAGCCTCAGCCGAGGACCTTCTGAAGCCATATATTCAGGGACCAGAAGCTTGGTCAAGTCTTTACGACTCTCTAGGTCTAAGCTGATGGCTTATTGTGCTCCCTACATAGCGTGAAAGACTCAATGCATACTCAGAGATGATGTTAGATTGAAATGTTAAAGACTTGAAACCTCGAAAGCTGTGTGTCAAACAACCATTAGCCGTTCCCCGACACATGCCAGCAACAGATTCCGAGGATATATCCTTTCATCAGGTTTTCTGATGGATGGTTGTACTTCAGGCAACAAAGGGATATCGTCCCCCTTTATTGGCGTAGGATGAACGGATCTTCCAAGTCGGGCTGAGCACTTGAGTAGACTTCACGATCAAAGGTTGTAGAACTATAGGACGAACAAGGGAGTATCACAATCAGTGCAATCCTTCTTGTTGTAGTCGACGCCAGCAAAGACCGCACAGGAGTGTCCTGCGCCTGTTTCATATCCTACAAGCACTTACGCTCGTGCTAAACTATCAACACGAAATGCCATCATCGCTCATCATCCAGCTAGAACTCGTTCCCACCGGGCTGTCTTTGCTTCCAATCAATGGCTTCGCGCCAGCTTGAACAATAGCAATATCCTTCGAGTAGGTGTGGTGTGCCAGAAGAGAGGGTGTTCTATCCCAACCAAGTATCAGAACTTGTGCGTGCTCCAGTCCTTACCTCCTTCCTCGTCTTCATCCCCTGTCTCCTCTGCATCGCCGTTTTCTTGAGCATCATCATTCGCGTCGCCATTCTCGTCCTCTTCATCTTCGTCGCTATCATCATCGTCGTCGTCTGCATTGAAGTCCGGCATGACAATGCTGTTCAAGAAGGTGATCTACATCATGTGTCAGCACATCCATCATCCAAACGACAACCAGTCGGCAGAGGGTTACTTACGAATGGGTGCATCGCGGCAATGATCTCACAAATCTGCTCTTGGGCATCGTCCTCGGTAAAAACCTTGTCATCAACCTTCTTGCTAATCGTGAAGTTGCGTAACTTCAATAGCTCGATGTCGCGGTGATCGACCAAGTAGCCCTACGAAAGCGTGATTAGTAACGATCCACAATGACCGTGGTCTTCTCTTCGCTCTTGATAGATTGCAGGACAAAAAATCCGACATAGGCATACCTTGGGCTTAGTCTTTAGCGCATTTCCCTTATTCGTCTCAGCAAATCCCTTCAACGCCGCTTCCTCGCCCCCCTTCTGCAACGATTTGGGCAAAAAAGTCCTCTTGAACCTCTCATCATTCAAGACCCTACGCCACCGACGCGGCCGCTCATCAATACTCTCCCTCAACTTCTGCAAGTGCGACGCCTCAGGACACCATAAGCCGCCGCCCACAAAGCAAGAGCCTGGCTGAAGATGGATGTAATAACAGGCGTAAGGTCCCTTCTTACCCGTTCTAGACCATGCCGCAGAGAAGTGAGCCTGTGAGTTATTGACCATTAGTGTCATTCTCCCACGGGGTTTCAAGCAACCTGATGGCAATGGGGAATGTCAAAGTACCTTGTAAGGAGTCGGGTCCTTGCTGAAGCGAATATCGCGGTGGATGCGAAAGACGAGGTCCTTGGCCGGTAATTCTGGGATGGTGAAATCCACTTCGGTGATCTTTGGTGTGATAGTCTCGACAAAGGTGTTCCAATCTTTTAGGGAGCGTCTATACTCGCCGTCGTGGCCTGGACTAAATCAGTATTCGTAGAATACCAAGAGGATTTCCTTGTGGGGCCTACTCTTGAGCCAAGATCTCTGGTTGTGAGCTTTGAGGTCCTTCAAGAACGACAAAGTGTTCTTGTGAACGGTGTCGTCGGAGTAGTCCTGTCCATCGAGCCCTCGAAGCTTCTCATGCGGAATGATAGTGACCCTACTCTCGTAATCTTCCTCGTCATCTTCCTCTTCGTCCTCATCTTCCTCAGGTTGGTCATCCTGATATTCATCCTCAACCTTCTCAATCTTCTGCCTCTTCACTGCTTTTGATTTGCTGGGCGCGGGCTGTGGCTTAGCTTTAGGTTTAGCGACTGAACCCTTTGGCCGTCCACGTCCACGCTTCTTGGGTTGCTCCTCCTCCTCTTCTTCATCATCACCTTCGCTCTGCACCTCATCACTGTCAACCTCGACCTTCGCATCTCCATCAAAGTCATCATCGTCGTCGTCACTCTCGAAATACATGCTCTTCTTGGGAGTGCTTGAGACGCGCCGAGACCGCCGCCGGGGCTCATCCTCAGCAGCCGGCGACGCAGCACGCTTACGGGCTGGCATGATTTTAAAATACTTCTCCTCAATTGTATCCCAATAAGTCGATGGATAACTTTTGAGGTCGGGTCGCTCTGCAGCTAGCTGTGGTGTGCATACAAAATGATTGGGTCTCAAGACCAAGAATTCAGCATCAAAAGCCAGAAAGGTGTCGTGCGTCATCGAGTGGGCGACCGCGGGGGGCACGGCGACGGACGCGCCGGGATCCAGACGCAGGCTGAACGCGCCATCACATGACCTTGCACGTGTACTTATCGTCTATCAGCGCCGCGCGCATTTCGCGGCGGCGGGACCGGACCTCGAACGTCTGCCGTCCAGGTAGAATCAAACGACCGACCGGCTTCCTGTTCTTCGAATGGACCGGTGGCGCCCACACCACATTTCATTGTCCGCTACTACCTCTACCCACTGAGAGTTTTCTTCTTGACTGTGAAATCTTTCGCTGACTCACTAAACGGAGTTTAAGCCTGAACTCCAAGCATCACAACAACGAAACCACGGCACTTTCAGGCTTGTTCCGCACCGGGCTTGCATGAAGTTCGCATGACCAAAGCATATCTCAATCTCATTCTCAAACCTTACGAGTGAGATGCCGTGAATGTCGGAATGAAATGCCATCCCCATGAGGAGGGACTTGGCTCATCACCCTTGCATACCCTGATTGATAATCTGCTGGTATATCGAACTTGTCGTGAGAATGCCTTGAGACCGCCATCATCTACGCAGTCGTCTGTTTCCTCCAAAGGAATGATGGTATGTGATTCTAGTCATCCGAGCGAAGTAGAATGATGCTACGCGACTCGTACAACGAGATCCAGCAGGAGATGTTGATGACACTGTGCAGAGGATGTTGTTCAAACAAGGCTTGGCAGCACAAGATACACATTGCAATTCGTTGAAAGACAGCCATTCTATCGTCAAAGGGGCCGCGGAGCCCGAATTCCGACAACTTTGAATACCAAGCTCACACACACGAGTCACCCTCGGGGCAAAACTCCGCCAGCTGAACATGTCATTGCGCCTGAAGCCCGCAACATGGAAGTCTGCCGCGATGTTGGAAATGGCACTCTCTGCACCACACGACGGCTTCTTCCGGAGCTCCCTCTTTCGATAGAGACAGACATCTTTAACCCGCCGAGTACTTGCCACATGTGTCTTGACTTGAGATCCGCTGCCCCTAAGCCTGAAGTCAATGCATTCTCGATAAATCCGCACAGGGGCGGGTTTCTGCGAAGGCCTCCGAGACTCCAAGATTGCTTTATGTTTTCATGGTCGACTGACTATAAGTACAACCGTGTTGGATCTGGTCTTGTGCTAAAGGATCCAGCTGTTATCCATTGTACTTGACAACTTCAGGAACACACAACCCAATTCCTACAACTCTGAAACCACCATCACATCCATCATGGTAGTAGTCGCAGTCGCCGGAGGCACGGGCGGTGTCGGTAAGACCATCGTTGAACAGTTACAGCTCAGCAAGAAGCACGAGGTGATCCTGCTTAGTCGAAAGGTGAATGCTCTAGCCGCAGCCACATGCGAACACGCTTGAACCCCTTCTGACCAGGCCCTCTAGGCTCCTACCACACTCGCCTCAGGTGGCGCAAAGATTGTGCTTGCTGACTACGGCAACATCGAGGCGCTATCCCTGCTGCTCGAGAGGCACAATGTCGAGACAGTCATCTCCACGATTGGTTTCGTGGGCCCGGAGGCCGCTCAGTCACAGCTCAACCTCATCGCCGCGGCCGATAAGGCCAAGCCGACCCTTCGATTCTTACCCAGCGAGTTCGGAGTCTGGGTGTCTCCAGAGTACGCAGATTCCTTCTATCCCGGGGCACCTTTCCCTCTTCGTTGCCGCGGAGTCACTGACACCTAACCAGCGACACGAACGCGGCGGTGTTCGGTGCCTGGCTGGACGCAATCGCCGCCTCAAAAAGACTGGCTTCATGTACACCCGCGTCATCAACGGGTGGTTCATGGACTACTTTGGCATGCCGCACACCCCAAGCAACCTCACCCCTCACACCTGGGCCGTCGACATCGCGAACCGCCGCGCCGCGATCCCTGGAACAGGCAATGAGCTCATGACCCTGACCTACTCGGTAGACGTGGCCCGCTTCGTCGTTCGCATGCTCGACGACATCGACTGGCCCAAAATTAGCATCATCAGCGGCTCAGACACCACGTTCAACGAGATTCTGGGAATCGCGGAGAAACTCACGGGTACGTACAGTCTTGGATCTTCATAGCAAAGTTCTATAAGGGTCACGTAGCACTGACATGGTCTATTTTCTTGCCAGGAGCCAAGTTTGACGTCGTCTATGACGGAGAAGAGAAGTTGAGAAACGGCCAGGCAACCGTCTGGTCGGCTGGCTACGGCGCAGGACCGGCGTCAATGGAGGAGACGCAGGCGATGATCGCTCTCTTCGGGTTGATGAGCGTCGAGGGCAGGATCCTGGTGCCCCAGGGTAACCGCCTGAACGCAAAGTACCCAGATATCCGCCCCATAGTCATTGAAGAGCTTCTTACCAAGGCCTGGGCTGGGAAATAGGATTCGTTCTGTCTCAGGACCAGTGCTTAGGTTGAAGTACTTTGTCCCTCATCGTCCGTAGCTTTTTCGTCTCTGCCGTCCAATCCCCCTACCACAATGTCGCCTCCTTGTTCAGCGTAGTCTCTCTAAGATGAAGACGTATCTCTTGAGCTCAGTTCTCGCACACACAACTCGAGGCAATAGTAAGATGAGACAAGTAAGCCGACTAGTCTAGACCGGCACAGGGCCCGGGCCGCCCGGCTGCAGGCTGAAGTAGAGTTAAATGTCGATCCGAATCCAAAGTCCCAAAAACCACAAAATATAATTTGACTGCCCCGCCATATGCGGTTTTGTGGATATAGCAGAGATCGACCGCCAGCCACACCCGCACGGCCATGCCGTTTAAATATCCTAGCCTCACAATCATCCTAGCCGCTCAACGTCGCTGGAAAGTCTCCGCTCGGTAATAGAAAGCGAAGGATTCTAAGCGTAGTAGGGCTTAATCTTAAAGAGTATGGAGAAGTAAAGGAGCCGCAGTACTCTGCTGACAGAAATCTCACACCGCCCCATGAAGGAGCAGCCGAGTTCCGTGCTCCCGGCCTTCCTAATGGTTTGAACCGGCATGGTTTATAGAGTTGTCCACCTGAAAGAGTATCAATCTCAATGGTGCCGACACGTCCAGCAAAATGAAGTAAGTGTATTAATGGATCCTTCAACCAAAGTCCCGTACATCTCACGAAGATGTCTCGTGTATCGAGACAGTGCCATTTTGCTACTCAGAATGCAGCCGACGCACCCATGCTGACTTCTAGCTCGGGGCTCTGTACCAGGTCTCACGATAGTCTCTCCCAAATTGGCAAGAGAATCGTCTAAGAGGCGAGACTTGAGGTCTCTGGACCTCCTCATTGGTGGTATAGGAGTGTCCCCGCTAAGGCTTCCCTAAGTTCCTTTTCATCTTGCAAGAGGATGATCTCTATACCCACGGCTCTAGGTGCCATCATCAATGCTCTAGGAGTATTCCAGCCGCGGCTCCCTCGAGTCCCTTCCGACGTTGCAGTAGGATCATCCGGAGAGCAATATCCAAGACCTTCCTAAGTTCTTTCTGATGTAAGAGAATCATCCCAATATCCTAGCCTCTAGGCATTATATTTGGCGGTAATGGGACTGCCCTAGCCGTGGATCCCTAAGTCTCTTCCGATGTTGTTGCAATAGGATCGCCCGGATGGCAACATCCAAGGCTTTCGGTGTCGTGATTGGTTGTATAGAGGTTCCCTGGTCAAGGCTACCATGAGCTCTATCTGACGATCCTCAATCCCCCGGCAAGAGGGTACCGAAAAAGACCTTCGATGTTCAGATACACGAGATGGGCTGTTAAGCTACCTCAAGGAACAATCAAGGTGGCGAGCCAAGGTAGGACAGTGTGGATAGGCAGAGACGCGAACTTGGATACTCTGGTCCAAGATTCTAGTCTCACAATGTATTCCCGTCTTGAATTTAGGAGGGGAGGAGTCGAAGGATGACACAGAGACAACGAAAGCGGGCACTTTTGGTTTGAGGTCCTAGTCCCGCGAAGTATTCACCTACGGCTTGACATCTAGAGGCAGCAAAATCGGGTGCTTTGGTCGAAATCCCAGTCCTACAATAACATCACAGTCTAGAAATGATGAGAAGAATGACGATACAGATTCAACTATAAATCCCTCCACCCATCCCAACTCCCCTCCCATCGGCATCAGCCTCTCACCTCATCACAACACTCTACACTACAAACCATCTTCACAATCTTCCCAATCTACTCGAAGTACCAGTCCCCCCCCCAATCCTCAAAATGAAGTCCTCCACCGTCACGGCCATCGCCCTCCTCGGCCTCACCAACGCCGCCACCATCCGCATCTGCAAGGACCAGACCCTCGGCAACTGCGTCACCACGGACGTCGGCGGCCGCAGGACGTCCCTCGCACCCTCGGATTCGCCCCTCAGACCTCTCCAGCCTTCGGGCTTCATTCCTCTCCGCCCTCAAAAACGCGAAGCTGACAAACGTCATTCCAAGCCAACGTCCCCGGAACCATGAACGACGTCGTCAGCTCCGTCGACACCGGCAGCGCCACCTGCACCTTCTTCACGTGAGTTGCTACCGTCTACTTTATTCCCTTCCTTCCAAGAACGGAGAAGATGAAACATTCGTTTGCGCTCCTGTACGTCAAGCGACGGTCGTCAAGAATATCTTTCCGAACACAATTTCTTCAATCTACTTGCGACGGCAGCTGCGGCGGCGCCTCCTGGACCACTAGAGGTCTCCGGAACACCGTCCCCTCCAACTTCAACGACAACCTCAGTTCCGTCCGCTGCTAGAGGGAATCCCCCCCCCCCTCCATGTTTTGGAAAGTTGGGGGGGCCGTTTCCGACGGAGAGACACTCCGCGAGACATGATGGTGACGTGGTGTTTTCTTCCAGTACGCTCTTGTTATGGCCCACAGCAACGTGAGGAAATAAAGGGGGCTATCGAGAGTGATCTTGACTCGAGCATTTTGGTGCTTTCTTGGTTTCCGGAAAAGAAGCAAGCTAAATTCGATATCGAATCAGTTTAAGTTTCCTACCTTAGTACTTATTCCTCCTTCATATAGAAAATAGACTCTTTGAGTCCCCCATGTCCCCTCGCTTGGTTTATAGTCAATTGTCTCTTGTTGTTTACGCCCGTCCTTGGTAAACTTTTAACTAACTTCTGACACCAATTCGAATTCGTTCGTAAACTAATCGCATTGATATTATTCCTCGTTGACAAATCAATAATCAGAGAGGGTTTACCATAGTTCAACAAACAAACCGATCTTCCACTACGAGGAGGGAAAAAACAAGGCAGATGCGGAGTAGTCCATTATTTGTTATTTCAATCCTAACTGTAGTCTTACAGCCTTGAAGTGTTCGTACACTCGAGGCCACTCCGCTTCCTCAATCACATTACTCGTGTTCTCGCCAAAAACATGTTCTCAGCTTAATAACTGCAAATCGAACTTAAGCTCTTTAGGATCTCAAATGCATTTAGGAACTTTCGAAGAACGGGAAAGGTAACCCGGCTTATACGGTAGTCGGCCAAGTAGGACCATCACAAATGATCAAGCACCAAACGCAACGTCAGATATGAACATGTCATTATTCATCTAGCGACCTGTCAACGCCACACAATCCCGACAGGAACCACATCTCTCATCCGTACTTCATAACCCCTCAAAGATCAAGCCAGACTAAGGTGAACATACGACGAGACAACATGGAAATAGCTAGATCAAACCGGCCGAGCCGCGCCACCCATCCGACGAGCCGATGAGCCCACCAAACACTGTACACGCGAAGAATAAAAAAAAAAAATTAAAAAAAAGGTGAAAGATAAAACGCAGTGCAACTGTTTCTCCGACACCTTCCTTACTGCGTCAAGGCACGTAACATTAGAACGCCAAGCCAAAAGTTCTTTTCCCTCCCATCCCCCGCCCTCTCTATCTCCTGCGTAGTCTGGCTGGTCCCTGTCTGTCGGTACTCCGCCGCCGGTTCGACGCCCCGAAATCCCGACCAGGGGTCGCGCACGCTCTCCCCCTCTCCAACATCTGAGGGCAGACCAATGACACGCTGCCATTGCTCGATTCGTCAAACTCTGCATTCCGAATCAACGCATTTGGCCGTTGAGAGCTTCTTTCCATCCCAAAAAGACCTGGACCAGCGACTACGCCGCCTTGTTGCGGTCTTCGAACGCGGAGAAACACGCATGCGACAGGGAAACTCCATGTCCTGCAAACAACCGCATCGGGAGAAATCATGTCTTGGCGCTGAGAGGTCGACCGACATCAAGCCTCAATGATGCCGCTACTCCGTCGAAAACCGTACAAGCCATGCAGTGTAACAGCCTCAACCAAATACTTTACCATCTGGGGTCCGACCACTTCATCCGAGATTTGGGTCATGGGCAATGCGTCCCAGGGGCGTTCTGTCGCGGGGCTTCTCGACCAAATCAGCATACCCATCCAGGCTTGATCCCATTACTCTGACCATGTCGAAAATGTGCGAGCCCTTGAATGTCTCTGCCCAGAGCCTGATGACCGCTGCAGCTAGCTGTCTCAACCTTGTGCTGTCGTTCGCAGATACCTCGTTGTTGGCAGGTTGGCCGGTGGTAGGCCCACCCAGGGATGGATCGATGGGCACAGCAAATTCCGTCTCGTCCAGCATTCTCCTGACCGATTGTAGGAGATTCTTTTCTTCGGGGGTCGCAGGGGGGTCATTCGGTCCGATCGATGCGAGAGTAAGGAGCCATTTAGATAAGAGAATGGCGCATTCGAAGTTGCACACTCCAAAGAAACGGGGTTAGCTAGAACAAGCGATGTTTGAGAAGAACAGGTACTTACAGGAATGTTGAATGCTCCATTCCAGGCTCTTGGTCCTCGCAACATAGTTGACGCCGGCCTTGACCAACATGGACAAAGCATGAATGGCCTGGAACACGGCTCTATGCAATCTCAACGTACGGACAAGGAGGGGCATATTGCTCAACGACGAAGCAACTAGCATGTGATCCCTGGTCTCGAGGGATCGGTTGGGTGGGATCTCGGTGTATAGACGGATATATGCCAAGCGCAGGAGTGCGGTAGAGTTGAACGCTACCGGACCACCCGGGAACGAGTCGCTGTTGCCCACATGCCCCGCGTCGGCCGCCCTCAATTGGTGTCGGTGTTCGAAGCTCACCTGCCATATCCTCAGTGCAGCAGTGACCTCTTCCACATCCTCCGGCTTCAATCCCCTCTGTGGCCCAAACGGCGAGCTGAGTGCGAATGAAGTTTGTTTCAGCAGGTAAATGTGCTGAAGCAATGCGTGGATAAGGACATAGTTTCCGAGGGATGACATGTGCGGAGGCAAGCCCTGGGGCGAAGTCGTCAGGACTCTGGAGAAGGCGTCGTGGACGGTGATTTCGACAGAAGGATAGTTTTGTCTGTCTTCCTGCCACTGCCATGCCGATTCAGCCCTCCACAGCCTGGACGGGTAGGGCAAGAATAGGCCAAGCTCCGAAGTAAGGATAAGAGGCGGCATGTTGTACGCGATACTGCACAGGTTGAAGAAGCAATAAGCTATGAGCTTGGTGCGCGTAGCTCCCTCAAGTCGAATCCAAGTCTCCCAATCCGGTGCAACGGCCGGGCTGGACTCGGCTATCAGACCCTCTTCGCGAACGAGCATAGCAAGGTGGCTCTGAAGAGATAGAGCCTCATGCAAGATTGCTTTCGCTCCCCAAAGCCCGACTGCGAAGAGCAGCAAGACAGCCTGTGTGGTCTCAAGACGAGCTTGCGGGGTGTTTGGCGAGCTGCGGGGAAAACATTAGAGCTGAAAAGCAGAGCAAGATGGGAAATACACTTACAACGGCTCGCGATGAGTGTCCTGTGTCATCGGGCGATCCTGCTGTGCCGAGGCAAAGGTATGCCTAAATCCAGAGCTGGGAGAAGGTCGGGTCGAGTGTGGGCTGTACGCAGCGGGCGTCGGTAGAAGAGCATGTACCTCATGACTATGTCTCCTTCGAATCTGCTCGAGCGCAACAGCCTTTGCAGCATACCACAGCGCATGACCCCGGTGGCTCTCGAATCGGTACTGTGCACCAACAGCCAAGATGGCCAATAGAAGCTCCGGTGCCATCTCGGCGGGCGTCAATGTGGGTATATGCAGGAACGGGAGATACTCGTGGAAACCGCTGATGTATCCCTCAAGGAAACGAGTGAGTGTATGTCTAGACGGAAAGACAAAGTCGTTTGGAATAACGGATGAGAACTCCTCCAGTCGGTTCTTGATGACCGTGTGGTCGACGGCAGAGATACGAAGGGGTGCTCTCATTGACTCTTCGTGGCTCCTTGGACCACCTTCCATACCCTCCCGACCATCCGGCTGAACCGAAGGGAACCGTGACGGAAACTGCGATGATGGCTTGGACGGGCCACGGTGATGCATATCGCCACGGGGCCACAGTCCCCCCATCTGCTGATCAGACTCGAACGGAGGTGGCAAGTAGTGCGAAGAGGGCGCAAAGTCGTCGAGGAAAATGTGATAGTCGTCGTAAGGTGCTGCTTGGGGCTGAGGAACATATCCCGGTGCCAGCATGTTCTGATCCTCTCGTGGCCGTTCGGGATACCCCATCGACTCATCATAGGACTTGATCCTCGTATGATCGGAAGGCGGACGTCCCATCTCAGCCATCATGGGTTGCTGCATGGGGTTCACTTCGCTGGCCAGAGCCGCATCAGAAAGTAGATCGAGGTTGCAAGCAGCGGCACGGGCCGGGCCTGGCATGCGAGGATCTGGGGCCATGGTGGATGCCACGGCCGTTATTGACTCCTGGTGATACTGGGGCTGAGGTGGGCGCTGAACGCCCAGCATTTCGTGTTCGACATGGCTGTCGGAGGAAGATGGCGGATTGTGTGTGCTGGATGAAGTCTTTCTTGGCCGATTATTCTCCTTGCTGCCCTCGTTGAGGTGAACGAGCTTCTCATGGCGGACAAGGAGATCACTGATGTCCATATAAGCATATTCCTTCGTCAGAGTTGGGAGGGGGAGTCGGCCGTGTTGGAGTTGAGCATCAAGAACAGGGAAGAGGTGGAGTCGAAAGTCGGGGTCTTGGGACGGGGGAACGTCTTGGGGATAAATCAAATCAAAGCAAAGTCAAGCTGGGTGGTGGTGTGGAGTGTGTGGAAGGTGACAGCATATGGTGTCGATGTGGTGAGGTAAGTGTACTCAGGCAGGCCGCAGGACGGGTGAAATGACGAATGGCCAGGGGCAAGGTTGATAGAACTCACCGTCGTCCGAACGTTTTCCCACAGCGAGCCCAGCCGCAGGCAAAGGGCTTCTCTTTGGTGTGTGTCCTTTCGTGTCTTTGGACATGCTCCACACGCCTATAATGCAAAAGCAATGTAAGCTAGCCGAAGGTACAGCCAGAAAGCCAAAGCCAAGGCAAGGTAGGGCAATCAATCATCGAGAGAGGAGAGTCGGGGGGCCTTGCAACAAGGAGGAGGGGAAGCCGACTTACCTGAAGCGCTTGCTGCAATACTTGCACGGCAACGTCTTGGGTTTTTGCTGCCGGGCCTCACCATTTTCCCCAGCTATGCCAGAGCCTCCATGAGGCTGCCCCTCTATGGATTGGAGTGGCATCATTTTGTGCAAACGCTACCCAAAGGAGCGACAGGTAAAGGGGGAAAAGAAGGGTACCGTGTGCTCGGCTAGGTAATAGGATAGCTCAAGGACCACCGAGGTCACACAGCACGAGAAAGTGGGGGAAATGGAGGAGGTAAGGTAGGCGGAGCAAGCAGAGTTGGGCTTGAAAGGGATACTTTGCG